TGGTGCATGTGGGAGGGTGTGAGATAGCTTCCTTCTGGGCCTCACTTCCAGGCCTTGCTGATGTCTGAGTCTCTCACACTTATCCTGGTTCCTGCAGCTCCGTATTGTTTCAGCAGCGAGTCCCTGGATGCCCCAAATGACAGTCTCTCTTTCTTCCTTTCCTTCTCTTCCTTCTTTCTTTCATTTTCCTTTCTTTCTTCCCCTCTTTGCTTTTTCTCATCTTTCTCTTCCCTCTGCCTTCCTCCATTCCTTTCTCTCTCTTCCTTCCAAGAAGATAATGTCCTATCTCTTATCTGTCTATCTATCATCTAACTCATCTATTTCTACCCATTTTCTTTTTGTAAGGAATTTGAACATAAAATACATTCACAGGCTTTTGTTTTGGAGGGGATTTTGATTTCAGACTCCAGACTCTTCATTTTACTGATGAAACAGAACTGAAGCTCAGAGAGCAGAATGATTCACCCAAGGTCACATGGCTCACACGAGGAGGACACGGACTGGACCCCCATCCCACCTCCCACCACCAGTTTCAAGGCTCCAATTGCATCAATCCCAGCAGAGCTGGGGAGCCTGGGGAAGGCTGCAAGTCTGTCCAAGGGGCTCCTCTCTGAACTCCGGGCAGCCTGGCTCTCTCAGGGCTCCCCGGGGTGCTCTGCCCTCTGCACCCCCCACCTCCTTGTGTTTCAGTCCATGCTTCCTGGTGCAGGCAAGCTTGTGGTTTGGTAGCGACTCTTCCGTGGGCTGTGGGTCATCGTGGTCAGAAGAGCTAGTGTGTGTGTGTGTGTGTGTGTGTGTGTGTGTGTGTGTCTGTGTGTCTGTGTGTTTATCTTTTTTAACCATAACAAGACTTTATTATGGGGAGGATCTGCCTGGCTGTCTCTGAACAATAGAGAGAAAAGCAACATGGCAGCACAGGGAGCTCCTTTTATAGGAGTGGGCTGGGGTTAGCCTGAGCTGGGGTGGAGTTGAGTGAGGTAGTACTAAGGGACTGGAGGAACTTGTGACATCACTAGGAGGGGCTTGTGACATCCCTAGGTGCTAGGGGATAGCAAGTATCAGGTTACTCTTGGCAGGAGAAGAGGCGTGATGGGAAGTAGAAGCCTGTCCTTTGTTGGGAGAAGCCGTATTTTAACATGGAGGCTGCTATTCTGTGCGGCAGCCATCTTAAGGCAAGGGAAATCTAACATTCCAGCCTTTTTCTTTTATGGTTATTGGGTGAAGGTCTCTTCTTCTGGAGCTGCTTCAAGCTGACAAAGGGGCAAAGGGGTCGGGGGTAAACCTGGATCTGGTGGATCTTCTTCTGGCTGCTTCAAGCTGACAAAGGGGCAAAGGGGTCGGGGGTAAACCTGGATCTGGTGGGGGCTTCTTCCCTCTGCCTCAGTGGCCGGTACCCCACCATGATGAGTTCCGTGACTGTCTGCTTGGTAAATGCCCTCATGAGTTCCTGCAAGAAATTTTGAAAACAGCGAAGTAGACAGGGACAGGGCCCTATTAGGATTAAAAGGCATCTACAAGCCAGTGGGCCCAACAAGGGAAGAAACCAAGGCATAATTTGGGAAGCCAGGAATAGCTTTGGTCTATTCCCCAATAATTCCGTTGTCTTTTTCCGCTCTTCGATGCACTACTCTAATTCTTTAACCTTTGCTTTAACAGCCCCTGACTGGTTAACAAAATAATAGCATTCTTCACGAGGCGCCTTCCCCCTAGGCATAGTCCCCCTGGGGCCTCTGTCAGCATGTCCAGGGCCCTTCTATTTTGTAACACGACTGCTGTTAGAGAATTTGATCTTGTACTGTATTTAAGGACTGGCTTATTTTATCCATGTCTTCCAAAATCTATACGGACAGGGCCTGATAGAAATGTGTGGATGTAGAAGTGCCCTCTGTCCCCACTGCCATCCCAGTGAGGACCCCCGCTCCCATTCAGAAGGGGACTAGAAGGGGAGCTGCCCTTTTTCTGATTGTGCTCTGTGGAAGAACTTGTTTAGACATCTGGACTTCTCCATAGATGGTCATGGGAGGGCCAAGGAAGGAGAGGTAACAGAAGACATCAGACTGAGGCGTCAATCAGAATGCCTCTTGATGACATATGAAGTACAGGCCTTTGGACAGGCCGATCGGACACAGAACTGCTAGTATTTATTGAATATGTGCCACATATCAGACACTGGACTTGGTATATTTCACCTGAAGGTCAAGGTCAGGGAAGTCATTGTGCAAAGTTCCAGCTGCTAAGTAGGGCATCACCCCAGGTCTGTATTAGTCAGACAGCAACTGGGGCATGGAAGGGGCCTGTGTTCCTGGGAAGGATGCAGCGCAAGGAACTTGAGGATCTGGGTGAGATCGGCACACTCACATTCCGTTTCCCTACCTGTCAGGAGCGTATCCAGCCCTTCCCCTGATGGGTTTCCAGCGAGCAGCTACCAGCATCGGCTCATCGCTACCTCTACCGCCATCCTCATCTCTGGGGGATGAACTGTGCCACATGAGAGCCACCTTGCACCCGGCTTGGCTGTGTGCTGTGGGTGGCTGGCAGGAGCTTTGATTCCCCTCTTTGGTGTGGGGGCTGGAGGATCAAGCGAGGATCCTGCTCTGCTGGGCCAGGAGGGTGTGCCAGACAATCGTGTCTTTGTGAGCCGCCGTGGGGCATCTGCCCACGGAAACCTGTTGGCTCAGAACTGCCTTGTGGGAAAAAAGTAGCCTTCGGGACAGGGGAACAAAGAGCTTGTCATATTTAGGAGGGAGCAGGGCCCAGAATGGGCCTGGCACTGGGAGATTAAGGAGACAGACTTGAGAGTCCTTTTAGTTTCTTGAGAAAGGAATGGATTTTAGGCTGGCAAGGATGGGAGCTTCTGGAATGTGTGGCTTGGGCGTTGTGTTCTGCGGCTTTGGGGCTGAGTCCCACACACTTCTGTCATCCTGTGCCACCTTGTCCATTGCTCCTTGCTGGCCAGCTCATCCTGGCTATGCTTTGTCCTCCCTCAGGGCCTTTGCACTTACATAATCCTTTGCCTGAGATTTAAACATTTTAAATATACAGACAGCGGAAGAATAATTATTTAGATTACCTGTTGCTATATCTGAGTAGCGAAGTAGAAAATGATCCGTAATGTCTTTCCTTCTCCGTCTTTCAAACACAGATAAACTACCACAGACCAGAGGAGGTTAAGAAAACATGACGACTAAACCTGATATGGTGTTCTGATGATGCTAGAACAGAAAATAAACATTAGGGGAAACTAGTGAAATGGAGTTTAGTTCATAGTGATGTACCAGTGTTGGTCTCTTAGTGAGAAATAAACCAATCTGGTGTGAAATGTTAACATGGGGAAACAGGGTGAAAGGACACTCTATATTATTCTTGCAACTTTTCTGTAAATTTAGAATAGGAATTTTAAAACAGAAAAAATTATTTTAAAAGACAAGGAACAGAATCATGACTTGACTGCTACCATTTGCTTACACACACACACACACACACACATTCACATAAAATGTATATGTGCTTTCACATGCACAGAATATCTCAGAAAATATACTTTACTCTAAAAACTGATAGTACACAAAGCCTCTAAGTATTTCATTTTGGGGTGTGCTAATGTAAGTAGTACTGAGTTTTTAGTTAATGTAATTAATTTTTTTTGAGTCAGAGTCTCACTATGTAGTTCAGGCTGACACTGAACTCACTATGTAGCTCAGGCTGACACTGAACTCACTATGTAGCTCAGGCTGGCCTCAGACTCTGTGGTCCTCCTGACTCAGTCTTCTGAGTGTAGGGCTTATAGGTGTGTGCCACTGCACCTGGCAGTACTATATATATATTTGTTGTTGTTGTTTTGTTTTGCTTTGTTTTTTTTTGAGACAGGGTCTCACTATGTAGTTGAGACTGACCTGGAACTCATTATGTAGCCCAGGCTGGTCTTGAATTCACAGCGATCCTCCTGCCTCAGCCTCCCGAGTGCTGGAATTGCAGGAGTGAGCCACCACACCCAGCAAGTACTATATTTTTAATCTAAGGTCTACTTGTTCATACTAAAGTGTTTGACTTTTGTGTATTATTCTTGTATCTGGCAACCTTGCTATAATTGTCCCAGGAATGCTTATTAATCCTAAGAGTGGAGGTTGATTCTATTAGATTTTCTACATATATAATAATTTCATTTATAAATAAAGACTGTTTTATTTCTTCATTCTCAATCTGTTTGTGTTTTATTTCCTTTTCTTACCTTATTGCCTTAGCTAGGATTTCTGGTATGATATTTTGTCAGTTTAGTTCATAGTAATGTACCAATGTTAATGTGCCACGACCACTGCAGTGGAGTCTGCGTGACAATGCCGCTCACCTGGCAGAAACCAGACCCGAGGTATCGTCCCCACGGGGTTAAGCCTCCTGGAGGTCCTTGGCTCACACCGCATGCGAAGTCAGCCGTGAAGAGAATAACTGGCCCCTCTGCCTGCAGTCTGGGGACATTGGGTTCATTTATAATTCTGTTCTATTTTGTCTTTATTACTATTTGTTCATTATCTGTAGAATTGTATTCTGGGCCCAGGAAAGGTTAGGAACAATTAGATGTTCCTAGAGATGGGGAGGTATTGGGGCACAAGAGGACGGGCGGCCAAAGTGCTGACCCTGAGCCCTGGACTGTGAAGTCCTGAAGGTGATCCTGAAGGTGACATGCTGAAGCCAGTCCTTTGTTTTACAAACTTCCCCTTCTGACTGCGTATAGGTGTGGTCTTACCTTGACTTAGTAGTTTTAGCTTTTGTGATGGTATATAGGTGTGGGCTTACCTTGACCTTGTGGTCTTAGTTTTTACAGTACTATTGTCTATCTTTCTCATGCCTGCCTGTGACTGAAATCACTCTTGAGGTGTGCCCTTGAAACTAGTATATAAACATCTAGAGTTAGAAATAAAATTGCAGCAGCTACTACCTTGGCTACTCAGTGCTGTGTGGTTTCTGACTGTCACCGCCGAACCTGCTCCCACCTTTCTGAAGATCCCTGTTCTCCACGTGAAATCCAGTCTTTGCTCCCCTACCGTCGGTAGCATTAATGGAGTGGTGAGAGGGGAAATTCTTGCCTTGTTCCTAATCTTAGTGGGAAAGTTCCTAGTTTTTTATCAAGTATGATCTTAGCTATGTTTTGTTAAAAAATAGATGCTCTTCATCAAGTTGAGGAAATTTTTGTTTATTTCTTTACTGTGGAGTTTGTAATCACAAATGGGTGTTGGATTTTGTCAAATGTTTTTCTTGCATTTATTGACATTAAATAACTTCTTTAGCCATTGATGTGATGAATTACATTAACATCATTGTTTATTTCGATATTCAAATTATTCCTGACTTAACCAGAGCCCCCCACCAGCTGTTTGGCTCTCTTGAAACACCAGCACTTCCTTACATTGAAATGTTCCATGTTCATTTTGTTCTTTCTATGTTTCAGCCCTGGAACCAGCTATTTATTTCACAAAAGATCTCTGAATCTTTTTAGTGGTGAATGCGTTTAAAAATCAGGATCTGGGCATTAGGGCAGGTAATGGAGGTGGTGGCTACTCCTAGGTACCTCATTCCATCCTTATTTATTTCACACCAAAGGCTGACCCTCTAGATAAATGCCCTTCTCATTATGCTTGGATTCTGATGCTCTGCTTCCGTCCTCATCCCTGTAGTCCCGGCACACACCCTAGTCATGTTTTGACATCTCTTCCCTGCTGTGTGAAAGATTCTCTATACATGGTTCAAAGCTTTGCTCAGAGTTCCCTGCTCATTTTGCTCCCTCCAGGCCACCGTTATTGGAGCCCTCCACTCCAGCCCTTGCCTGGCCCTGCATCACCTAGTGACTATTGACTGCATTGTTTAGAAAAGGAAAGGAAGAGAAGAAGTACAGGAAGAGGAAGGTGAAACAAGTGAACTTTTCATTGAGGCATAAAATACATACGTGGCTAGGTGATTCACCTGCAGATCAGCGGATTTTTATGCCACCATCTGGATGGTTTACAAACTAAGAAATCATTGGCTGCTGTGTGGAAAAAGCACAGAAACGAGGTAAAACAAAGGAAGAGCCTAAAGGATCTGTGCCTGGATTGGGTGTAGAGCACGAAGGAAGACAGGAATCAAAGATGGCTCCAAAATTTTGAACTGAAATCTGAAGAAGGGAGGATGGGGAGACGCAAAGAAACCCTTCCTCTTCCTGAGATGATCAAGCATCTTTCTGTGGACAGGGTTGACATGAGATGCTGATTCTGCACGTGAGTTTGGAGGCTGAGGAGGCTGCTGGACAGTAGCTCCTGGGAGAGATCCACTTGGAAACGTTTGAGGGTCACTCGTGGCCAGATGGCGTGTAAAGCTGTGAATTGAACAAGATCCTCCAGATGTGAGTGTAGGTAGAGACCAGGTTGAAGAGAGAAGCCTTGGAACATTGGAGGGTTGAGAGAGGAGTCGACAAAGTATCCCGAAGACATCAGTTACCTCAACTGTAAAGTAGGTGTAACACCTTCCTTATTGGATCATAAGGATGAAGGAGTGGATATATATTAAACACTATTGGGTGGTGTTATGGGTGGAATGTGTGTCCCCTCCAAAATTCATGCTGAGATTTAGTGCCACTGTAACGGTTGGTTCTTTAAAGAGGCGATCCTTCTATGAGGACTTCTTTGTTGTGGGGTGGATGGGTGCCATTATAAGAGGAAAATTCTGCCCCTCTTCTCTTGCTCACCTTGTTACTTTTCTCCGTGTCGATGACACAGCAAGGAGATCCTGGTCATATACCAACACCTTGACCATGGACTTCTGAGCCTCCAGAGCTGCGAGCTAACGCATTTGTGCTCAGTATAAATTACACAGTCTGTGATAGGTTCTATAGCAGCACACAATCAATTAAGATAAGTAGTTGATATAACGGTGATCCTTCTGTCCCCTGCCCCCCAAACCTGTTACTTGACTTTTCATTGTCCCTGGACTCTGTGGCCTCTTGCTTGCTAGTCTCTCCCAAATGTCCTCATCTCCGCTTCCCAACACATGCAGTAAAGTGTATCCCTGACCCATCTTTCCTGCGCCCAGCGAAGACTGCAGTGGAAAACCCCCCTCAGTTGACATTGACTTCCCTTCCCCTCCCCTAACTGCCACCCCTTTAAAGAAATACACCTTTATCATTACCTTTGAAGTCTTTTGTATGTCTCCTTTCATTTCTACATTCTAACTTTTCCCCTAGAGGTAGTTTAACCAGATGAATGTGTCTCTAATGAATATTGTATGTTTTGTAATTTTGAAGTTTATAAAAATAGAATCATTGATTCTTCTCTGACTTACTTTTAGTATTCAGCATTTGATTCCTGAGATACATCTGTGGTGCTGTACATAGTTTTAATTCACTTGTTTTTTCTGCCATATGGATACCCTATATTCTACATGCATTTATTTATACCCCCCATTTATTTTATGCATTCTACAGTTGGTCAACTTCCTAATTGTTTCCAGTGTTTGCTGTTACAAAAGTATTGCTATGAACATTTTGTCTGCGTCTTTTGATGTGCGAGTATAGATTTTTGTTTTTCTAGAGTAGATAGTGGGACCTGCTGCTTCAAAGAGAACGCACAGTGGCTGTTCAGCTATGCAATGCAAACTTGCTTTTCAAAAAGCTTGTGCCAATTTGTACTTCAGACAGGGTATTATGTATTCCGTTTAAGATTAGGAACCAAGCAAAGGTTTCTACTCTGATCCTTTTGTTCAGCTGTGCCCTGTTCCACCATCCTTAGCTCTGCTTGCTATGGTCAGACTTTTTAATTTTGCAAATATGACACATCGAAGTTTTAATTTGCATTTCTTGAATTTTACTGGAGTTAGATATCTTTACTTGTTTATCAAGGATTTGTATTTCTTCTTTTGTGAGGGGCTTGCTTTAAGTCTTTTTTTAAAAATTGGATTATTTTTATCTTGTACGTCTTTGTTTTTAGCAATTCCTCATGTTATTTTGACTATGGATGGCAAAGGTCTTTTCTAGCTCATGGTTTGTCCACTCTGTTTATGTATGATGTGTATTGACAAAAGAAGTTATTATTTTAATATAATTAAATTTATCATTCGTTTCCTTTGTGGTAAATTCTTTTATGTCTTGTTTAAGAAGTCCTTCCATGGTCCCAAGGACATAAAAAATTATTCTCCTTTTTTGGCTAAAGAGCTTTCAAAGCCTTTAATCTCTGGGACTGATTTCTGTGTATGGTATAAGGTAAGGATACACCATCACTACTCACTGCCCTATATGCATAACCAAGAAACCCCGTAGCAGCTAATGAAGGTTCCATTTTTTCTTAATGATCCATGATGCCAAAGTTGTTGCAACTCTTTTTTTTTTTCAGTTTTTTGAGACAGGGTCTCACTATGTAATGGAAACTGACCTGGAACTCACTTTGTAGCCCAGACTGATCTCGGACCCACAGGGATCCTCCTGCCTCAGCCTCCCGAGTGCTGGGATTACAGGGGTGTGCCACCACGCCTGGCCGAAACTCTTTTGTCAACCTACATCTAGTTTGATCTGCTTCCGGGCTCTGTATTCAGATCAGTTTTTCTGTCCTCTTGCCAGCACTTTGTTCTAATGCATGACCTTTAAACAACCTTTGATTTATTTAGAGACAAGTCTGCATTTTGTTCTTCTTTTAAAGTATTTTCATGTTTTGCACTTCTGCATATGTTTCACAAAAATAATTCTGCTGGTAGCTTGATTGGAACTGAATTGAACTGAATTCAGTTGAATTTTCGATGAATTGAGGAGAAGCGGATGCATCTGTGTTATTACATCTTTCTATTCACAGTTTCTCCCCACTTCTATAGGTCTTCTTTATTTTCTCTATAAAAAAAACTAGCATCGTTTCTGTTTGATTTAATCTTGGTATTTTATTTTTTGATGTATTACAAATTATATTATGTATTTTAATGTACATTTATTGTGGGTGTTTAGAATACAATTGATTACCATAAATTACAATAACATTTTCTGCATTCAACAATCATACTTAATATTTTTGTCAATTTTAATAATTTATATGTAAATTTGTTCCTTTTTTTTTCTTTTTTGCACAAGCACACCACCTTGGGTTTGCTGGGGGCGGCACAGGGGGTCTGGCCCTGGCAGTCGTGTCCTCCCATGTCTCCATTTCCTGCGTCTCTTTCTGTATTTAATATTAGCATTCTTTTTCTTCTTTTCTAGGTTTTTGCTTCCCATATATTGCGTAAATTCATTGGCCAGGAGTCCAAGAGGGTGATAAATAGAGGGACAATAATGAGAACTTCTCCATCTCGAAATTTAATTTATTTGTTTATTTATTGCAGTGCTAGGGATCAAAACCAGGGTCTCACAAGTGCTAAGCAAGTGCTGCATCTCTGAAGCACATCCCCAATCCCAGCTCATGCGCTTAAAGAAAATGTCTTCATAATTGAATATGATGTTTGATGTAAGACTAATTTATTCCTTCTTTCTCCTTTCAGCAAATTGAAAACTTCCCCTCTTCTAGTTTGCTTTTTTTGTTATCTTTTTTTTTTCTTTCTGGTACCAGGGATCAAACTCAGGACCTTGAGCTCGCCAGGCAGGTGTGGCAGCCCTGAGCTATGTCCCTGGCCCTTGTTATCATGAACGGGTGTTGAATTATACCAAATGATTTTTCTTACTAAAATGATCCTGTTATTTTTCATCTTAAATCTGTAGATGTGGTGAAATATATTAAGTGATTTTCTAATATTAAACCAATTTTGGATTCCTAAAGCAAATACAACTCGGTTGTGATGGATTTATTGCCCTTTTTACTATTGATTGCTAGATTTAGTTTTGTAGTATTTTATTTAGGATTTTTGCCGCTATAGTCATAAGTGAAATTTGCATGTGGTTTTTCTTTCTCATATTGTCCTTAATAGATCAACACTATGTCAAAATAAGTTGGAGAGGTTGTTACTCTGGAATAGTTTGTGTACAGTTGGAAATATTTATTCCCCATAGCCCATGGTTTGTTGATAAAAATCATCTATGTTAATCTTTTCTTTGTGAGAAGGTATTTATGAAGCAAAATTCTTTAATAGTTTTAGGATTAAGCAGTTTCTCTTCTTTCTTGAGTCGGTTTTTGCAATTTATACCCTTTTCTTGAAATTTGTCCAATTCACCTGAGCTTTGAAGTTTCCCTGGTATAAAATTGTTTACGATACCTGCTTCTTATGGTATTTATGATGTCTGCGTATTATGTTTTTAATCTCCATATTTTCGATACTTAGGCCCCTTTTCATTCTTCTTATTTGCACATTCCTTTTTATTTTTTTAAATTTATTGTTATTTATTTATTTATTTATTTATTTATTTATTTATTGGTACCAGGGATTGAACTCGGGTCCTTGCGCTTGCAAGGCAGGCCACTGAACTGCTGAGCTAAATCCCTGGCCCTTGCACATTCCTTTTTATATAAGTTGCCCAAATGGGTCCTTTTTAAATTTTAGCTCTCTCAGCATTAATTTTGCAACAACTTCCTATTTTTAAAACTTTCCAACCTACTAAAAGTTGCAAAAAAGTGCAACAAAGACTTCATCATTTATTTAGATTCACTAAATGTTAACATTTTGCTATATCTAAGCACTTTGGTGGTGCATACTCTCCCTTTTGTTTTTCTTTTTCATTTTGTTTGTTTTTTTAGGGAAAAATACAATTTTAGGGTAAAAAGAAATGATGTTTCTCTGTATAAGTACTGTACAATAATCACACTTGGGAAATTTAATATCAATGCAGTACTATTGTCTAATGCTTAGCCTATATTCAAATGTTCCCATCACCACAATGATGAACAGTGTAGCTGTTTCATCTCTTTTAATCCAGGATTCAGTGAAGCATTGTTCCTTGCATTTAGTTGTC